CCAAAATGAGTTTGACACCCCTGATCTAGATTAACCTGTTTATCACAAGAGAGGCAAGCAGGTTACAGCACTACGTTACATTACAGTTCAGATCTGTGGAGAGTCGCATCTATTCACAGAAGGATTAAATGATAAGTGGGCATGTTTAAAGGTCCTACGTTACGCAATAATTGACTCTCGTGAGCTTTTAAGTCGTGTTACAATGTTGTTACCTCCTCAAAAAAAGTTGTGTTTTGTTTCATTCACATGTGTTTGAATAACACAGACAAACTTTATTGATCCACGAGGGAAATTATTTGGGAACAGTAGCTCAAACATCACAATATAATATAAAAACAATGATGAAAAAATATAAATAGTAATAATAATAAAATATAAAATCACAGCTTTACACAAGAGGCGACAGGAAGACAGCGCAACAACGATATGATGATTGACAGGACATAGGATCATCTGTTACATAAGGGTGAGTTGTTGTACAGTTGTAGGGAGTATTATCTGTTACATAAGGGTGAGTTGTTGTACAGTTGTACAGTTGTTAGGTAAGTATTATCTGTTACATAAGGGTGAGTTGTTGTACAGTTGTAGGGAGTATTATCTGTTACATAAGGGTGAGTTGTTGTACAGTTGTAGGGAGTATTATCTGTTGCACATAAGGGTGAGTTGTTGTACAGTTGTAGGGAGTATTATCTGTTACATAAGGGTGAGTTGTTTGTACAGTTGTAGGGAGTATTATCTGTTACATAGTTGTTGCATAGGGAGTGAGTTGTTGTACAGTTGTAGGGAGTATTATCTGTTACATAAGGGTGAGTTGTTGTACAGTTGTAGGGAGTATTATCTGTTACAGTAAGGGTGAGTTGTTGTACAGTTGTAGGGAGTATTATCTGTTACATTGTAAGGGTGAGTTGTTGTAGGGTAGTATTACAGTTGTAGTTGTAGGAGTATTTATCTGTTACATAAAGGGTGAGTTGTTGTACAGTTGTAGGGAGTATTATCTGTTACATAAGGGTGAGTTGTTGTGTACAGTTGTAGGGGAGTATTATCTGTTACATAAGGGTGAGTTGTTGTACAGTTGTAGGGAGTATTATCTGTTACATAAAGGGTGAGTTGTTGTACAGTTGTAGGGAGTATTATCTGTTACATAAAGGGTGAGTTGTTGTTACAGTTGTAGGGAGTATTATCTGTTACATAAGGTGAGTTGTTTACAGTTGTAGGGAGTATTATCTGTTACATAAGGTGAGTTGTTGTAGTTGTAGGGAGTGTTACAGTTGTAGGGGGAGTATTATCATTTACATAAGGGTGAGTTGTTGTACAGTTGTAAGTTGTAGGGAGTATTATCTGTTACAGTTAGGGAGGGTGAGTTGTTGTACAGTTGTAGGGAGTATTATCTGTTACAAAGGGTGAGTTGT